GACTTAACTACATGAAAGACCGATGCTGTCTCCTGGTGGAGGAGAACTGGAGACATTCTGGGTCTGAACATTTACTTGCGAGGTCCACAGAGCATTGCTCATGGATGGATAATCTGGTGTGGAAGTTCTAAGATGGGGACAGATGAGAGCATATAAGACAGCATTCCCTATGTCCATGAGTAGCAAGAGTAGGTAGGATCACAGATCAAGAATTATAAATGACCTCAGAGGCCATTTGACTCCCTTAATTTTATAGATCAGGAGACCGTGGCCCAGGGTGGCCAAAAGAACCTTCCCAGTTCCCCAACTGCTAGTACCTTCCCCCAGATGGCCTTCCATCTATTTTTTATAAGTTGTGAATGTACCTAATTATTTACCTTTATCTCCCGATAGAATGTAAGTACCCTGAGGACAGGGGCCATTTTGGGGTGGGTTGGGGGAAGCTTTGATGGCACAGTGCCAAACAGCACAGTGACTGGCTTAACAAATGCACATCAGTACATCGGTTAATAAGTACCCGGCCCAAATTCAAATCATCAGAAAGAAACAGGAGGAAGATTACAAAGCAAATATCAAAGATCTTTAGGACAAAATGATATTTACCAGGACTGAAACATCGAACTACAACTGGCCACGTGCCGAGTCTAAATCACGTAAAAATATCCAGATAAAAAGTAGAAAACATTCACTTTAACAAAAGCCAATTGATTTACTAATGGTGGACAAGGTCCTGAGGATTCAGGAAGGAAAAAAAAAAGCCTTCCCCCTCCACCCTCACCACGAAGCTTACGTTCTACTGAGGTACACAGGTATGCAGAGAAGTAAATATATATATTTTTTAATTTTAATTTATCAGTAAATCATCTTGATGCTCAGTGTGCAGCATCCCAAACAGCTGGATCTTTCCGAACATGATGGAGACCAAATTTCTGAATGATAAACTAATCACTTCTCCCTTTTTCATATGAACTATCGGAGTCACATAGCTGGAGTGTGGAAGGAGTCTTCACAGTGAGTCAGGAAGTCCTGGGTTAATCCTGACACTTATTAATCACGTGACCCTAGGCAAGTGGATCAGCTCTATCTACCTCAGTTTTCTCATCTGTAAAATGGGAATAATAATTCCTATTTCCCAGGGTTGTTGGGGAAGACAGATAAAATGAGAAGGTATATGTAAAGTAATCTGTAAACCTGAACAGGCTAGACAAATATTAACTATTATTATTAATCATTATTAGAGTTATTATTAGGCTGACTCCTTGACCTTCTCCACATTCTGCAATTTTCAACGACAACCATGACATCTGAGAGCACTGAAAGTTGTCTGGTAATTAATAATCAAAACAATATGAACCTTGGACAAATCAATCCTTTGGGGATGGGAGAATACTGAGAATTAAAAACCATGGCATAGCAGCTCTACAGAGTTACGCGTAAACTACAGAGAAAATTTTAAAGTAAAGTGAGTACTCTGAGTACAAACAACACTCACTGCAAAAAAAAAATCTAGTATTTTATAGCATGAGTATGATTGTGGTCTCAATTTACCCATGTATATGACGTGGCCTTCTTTTTAAAAGATGAATTACCATTGTCATTACCATATTTTCAGGGGAGAATAAGGCTATCAGTCAAAATCCGTTCTTTCCTAAAACTTATGGCTTAGTTGGGTGATACCAATACTTTCAGCATTTCTAAGTCTAAAAACACTACTCCAATAATTTTCAAAAATCAAATGAAACAGAGTTCTAAAAATAATAAACTAGAGCCTTTCATGTAAGCAGAGTTAAAAAACAAAGCGGCCAGAAATTTCATATTTGCCAGTTAAAAAAAAATCAAATAATGGTGATAGAACTCTTAGCAGCCGAATGGAGACTGTCCATGGAGAAACCAAACCCCTCTGAAATTAACTACTCAGGGAATGCTATTCTCAAGTTAATCGTATAAGCTTTGTGCTTAAGAGACACCCAGAAAGATAATGTGAGGAGGGGATGGAGAAGTTTTTTATTAGCTCTATTTGAAAATAACAACCAAAAAAATTACCAGGCCCTTAAAAACAACTCCACCCCCAATCAAATGAAATAGGAGTTATAGCCAACATACATGTTTTGACTTCTTTCTATTCTTATCGGGTTGTTCATCTCAGCAAGCTCACTTATACAATTTTAAAGAACTCCTTGCCTTTACAAAAATGAATCTAAATTGTTGAAATCTGATCTCAAACATAAGAAAGAAGGAAAGACGATGGGGATGGGAGGGGAAGTCTCCTGCCTCCCCCCAAAAAAGGTCTGAGATACTTTGTTTTTTAAGTGTTTTTTTTCTTTCTTTCTTTGTTAAATGTCTCACTTAACACACTGACTAAATTATAGTTGGGAGTGCAATACTTATCTGGAAATCCTGCCTTCAGAAGTCTAGGGTTCATACCTGTCTTTCAGGCTCACATGTTCAATCTAAGGATCTGAGTACAGACAAATAATCTTTCCCATTTCAGGTAAAGGGCTATGTTTGCTTGTGAGTTTTACAGGTGAGTTTAAGTAATTAGTGGTTAACAACCCTTCCTGATCCAGTGTCTCTGTCCATGCCTCAGTGGTAAATAATATCACATACAATGGGGGTATACATCAGGTGATGAGTTATGCTTATTCACCATTTGGCAGGTTTCATTCCTAGTGGAGAACAGGGAAGCAACAGCCATGGGGAGCCGACAGAACCAGTCTTTTTATTCTCCCACCTAGGCCAACATTTATAATATCAAAGCTGGATCAGACCTTTTGGTCTTAACTGCCTTGCAGAGAGAGACCTACACATGCGTGCACACTCACCATGCTGTAGAGCTAACCAGATGTGACTGCCTGTACATGTGTGCGTGGGGGGTGGGGGACGACCCGCACATCTGCTTTTGTTGTTTATAGATACACTTACTGGACCATGTAACGTCAACTTTACAATTAGGTCACTTGATATACATTCTGTTGCCCTGCATAGCTATGGCCCCAGCTAAAGGCAGAAGCACTTTCAGGAATATTAGCTGTAGGATCTGAAGGAGCCCATCTAAAAGGGGGTTTTATCTTTTCCTGATGAAGCATTTCACCCTGCACACCATTTCAGAAAGCAGGCAGAAAGTATTCATTGTTGTCAGAACAACTGGGTGTTTTCTGCTGACAATAATAGACTTTAAAAGATGCCCTTCAAAGGGTACCAATAATCAAATTTCGAGATTATCAAGGCAATAACAATATGGCTTATAATTAAGGATCAAGAGATACTACTCTCTACCTCTTCCCTCCAAATCTCCAATGAATTAAATAAACCTGAGTAACAGTACAGGTTTCAAGACAAAATCTTGGCTTACAGAAATATTAAATAAGAAAAAAAAATGTACCAAGACCCAATTCTCAGAGCTAGATGATACTGATTCTAAGGGCACAGCTATGTTTGCAGACAGCTTTCTGTTATCAGTAAATATATTGTCACAGATTTTATTATTTCATTGTTCGAATGCCTTCCGAATTCCCTAATTTAAGGAAGCATGTTATGATTCCATAATTTTTTTAAAGAAACACAAAATATATCATTTCCCAGTGCCAAACCCATCACCTTTAGAGTAGGCATTCAATTACTATCTGTTGATAATGACATTAATTTATAATACTGACTCAATGACATTTCTATTCACACACAACCTAAGGTGACAGTGTGAATGTTTGCATCCCAGAGTACCTTCCAATTCATTTTTTTACAACAGAAAGAAAAATGACTTATTAAACCACTGTGTTTCTTTAAATATAGGTCCAACTGGGTGAAATCTCATTTTTATTTAATTTTACATTTTAGTTCCCACTCCCATAGAGGTAAGATCAGAAAAACATCCAATAGCTGATGAAATGGAACCCCCTCAATGCATGAGCTCCTCAGTGATGCTTCAAATCTAGGTTTAGACTCTATTAAAATGTATCATGTCATTTCTATTTAATGGCTTTCTATGGGGAACACCATATAAGATATCTCCCTCTCCCCAAATTGGTTGGTTTGTTTTAACCAAATTTGGCCAGGTAACCACGTTAAGATAATCTCTGAAGCTCACTCTATTTGGGTAACCATTGGGTTAAAACCAATAAATGATCCTTCCCTGGGTACAAGCTAACCTACCAATGTGACTAAATAAAGCACAAATGAACAGGAAGACCACCTGGTCCTGGGGAGGTGGGGTGGGGGGGGGGTGTTGGCTGTGCTAAGCAGCAGCCTTCATAGCAACTTAACTAAGTGAGGATCGCCTTTCAGCCTCCCTACTTCAGTCATAGCCATTGAAGTAAGCCTGCTTATACAATCCTTCAAAGCTTTTGAAAGCACAAGAAAACCAAGCATTCCAATTCAACTAGGAATGACGAACTTTTGTCCTCCTCCTCCCCCCAACACACACACATACACACACACACACATACACATACACACACACACACACACACACTATTTTAACTAAACTCCAAGAAAAAGCAAAATATGTCAGCTACCTCTCCAATCTTTTTAACAAAATTATATGAAAAGATAAAATGCCATTCTGCACACAACTCACGTATTTTCCCGTGTCTCATACTCTTGCATAGAACAAATATAAAGTTTCTTTGTTGGCAACTCTAATTTTCTCATCAGTCCATCCCTGATTAGCTAAAAGCCTTATGTTGGCTCCTCTGTGGGATGATGGGGGAAGAGGAAAAAACGAACGGCAACAAATTACACATTATTAAATGCCTCGTTCCAACCTCACTCGAGTGGAATAGGAGAAATGAAGTGAGATCCTCCTGACATCGCCATAAACAATATTCCAAGCAACTCCAAAAACTGTCCCGATTCTGCATATGCCGACTCTACCTCTCCCTCTTTCAGTAGAACAGCCAAAAGGCCACAGGGGTCTACTGGGGCTCACTGTTATTTTTATTCTTCAGGCTTCAATGGTACCTTAAAGCTCTGAGACAAAGTCCAGAAAAGTATTTACAACATACCTGATCATTTATCTGGCATGCAACGAGGTTGTGCTGTTCATAGCATCCAGCAAACTTGACATACTTGAGCCAGCTCCCGACATCTGGTTGACTGGCATCTATGTAGTATTTCACATTGCAAAACTCATCTAATATCTAGGAAGAAGAAGAGGAGGACAATCAATCTTACCACGGCCATCCTAACATGTTGCTGAAAATACAAATCATATATCTCTAAATGAGGAAATGGTTAATTACTTAAAAACATTTCATTGAAATGCATGTTTCTCCAGTGGGTCTTTTATGGGGGGGGGGAGAAAAGTGTACGAATGAATACAGGAGAAATAAATCTGAAGTAATATGTTGACTTTTAAAAAAATGCATTGATAATCATTACTAAAAATGTATCCATTTTTCAAAACCCTGATTCCTTTGTTATGCATGAGTAAGTGGCAAAGACTTCAAAACAATTAATTCTATCAAATTTGTGTTTTATTACAAATAATATTGAGCAACAGCCATTAATATAATGCATCTTAAATAAACCATCAATTTTCCAGGTTTATATATTCTTATTATGGAAATGTAGACTTTCAAATTTCTTACAATTTGAATCGACTCAATTAAATAGAGTTTAGAGTAAATGTTATCAATCTCTTTTCAATAGTCTCTCCCCCATCACACAACAGTTAGATCATACCCTTAATTGAAGCAAATTACAGGATTTGACTAATAATAGCTTTTATGCCAAACTAAAAAAAAGAAAAGGAAAAATCATGTAAACACTCATGCAAAACATGGCAATTTAACATTTTAACACAAACTAAGAAATGATTCCAATTATGCAGATAATAAACAAATACAAATTATAAGCAAATGAAAATGGGTTATATGAAAATGTCATCATACATTACTATATGACTAGATACAGTTATTTAATCTTCAGACCTTTTTCTCTGGCCTATACTAGATATTGAACAATATCGACTTCACTAAGAAAAATAAAATCAACTAAAGTAAAATTTTTGTCTTTTTAAAGTCTTTAAGCATGTTATTCTGTTTTATCTAAGAAGGACGTTATTTTTAAATTTTATACAAGTAAATGTTTCAGTACTCCTGGTCTTTTGAGTGGATGAATATGAATCCTGGCATTGTATCCCAGAGAGTTAATACAAACTTGAGGAAGTTTCTTATCAAACACTAAACAATACAGCCTAGGTCTCAAATTAATTAATTAAAAGAACTCGAGTAAGGAGGAGAGAAATCTGCTTTCTCTGGGTACCTATAAAGGTTAAAACAGTCTAAAGTATATTTATCTAGCCCTAAAACTGCTCTGCATAGAATTCAGGTAATCACCCAAAAGCAGCTCCAGGTCATTAACTCACCACAGACTTCAAGGGGACAAACCCCAAGGCTTAGGGGGCAACAGATACTGGGAATGAGGCTTTGGCCATAAGGCAATTAAAGAGCAATGAATGAGTAGTCCAAAAAAAAAATTCTCAAACACAAGACTTTGTTGGCTCCTGCCTCCGAAAGAAAGAAAGAAAGAAAAAAAGAAAGAAAAGAAAAGAAAAGAAAAGAAAAGAAAAGAAAAGAAAAGAAAAGAAAAGAAAAGAAAAGAAAAAAAGTGACTTACAGTTTCTTCTGTATATTCCTATCTATATAAAATTACATTTTTAAAAGATACAAACTTTAGGGCTATTTTCTTAAGGCCAAATGAAATTAATCTCCAGGGTAATTTAGGGAGCTTCTAGCTAGCTTTCAAGTGTCACGTAAATATCTGCACCAATGCATATTCTGAAATAGTCACCGAAATTGTGTTAGGGCTAGGTTTTTGTTTGGGAGAGGAGGGGCTAGCTCACCCTTGATATACATTTTTCCCAGAAATCATGGATTAGTGTCTCACGAAGGAAAAAGACGCAGTCAATGAAATGCAGCAGGAGTTACATTTTATATTTTCCGGGAGAGATGGAAAACTTGTTAATTTCAAAGTCAGAAAGGCTCAGGCCACTTCAATTTCGAGCGATTCTGCCCCCCCCTTTTTTTTTACTGGGGGGGAGAGGTATTACTTTTACTTCACATAAAAATCGTACGTGTAATTTTATTCCTTGTTAACATTATTGCAATTGCCAGTCAACAGCACATTAAGAAATTGAGCTCATTTCCAAAGGACGCCTTTATAAATATCTCAGTACAAGGATTATTTTTTTCTGAGCATTTTCTCCCACAAATGACTTTCCGAACCTCAATCTCTCTCCTCCAAGGCTTAAGACTTAACTTTTCCACAAACTTTTTCCCCCTCGCCTGTGAATGATTAACTTTTGACTCTCTAGCTCTGCACCCGTCTCCCCCAACGCTTTAAGAGTGTAGCAAATCTTGAATTTTAGAAAATAAAAATAAAAATGCAGCGACGACTAATGTGCTATTTCATCCACCACACTCCAGTGTTTAGGAAAGCTGTCATGCTCCAAGGATAGGATTTTTTTTAATGCCTTAAGAAAGGTTTAAGAGAAAGGCCCCTTCACAAACAAGAAAGGGGGAGAGGGGGAGAAAAAAGACAGAAAGCGGTGGGGGGGGGGAGATCCCTACGATATCGCCCGCGGGTCCGAGAGTAACTTTTTTCTCGAAGCATTCGATCTTGGAAGTGCAAGACTGCAACTTGGGAAGGTGGAACTTGGCCGAAGAGATCTCCAGAAGCAAGGTCGGTGCCAGGAATTCAGAGTGTTGGCAGCCACACCTTGTAGGGTTCTCAGATGCAGGCAAACGAGCGCGCGCGCACAGGCGCGCGCACACACACACACACACACACACACACACACACACACACACACAACTAGGGATATGGGGAAGGGGGGAGAGAGGGAGGGAAAAATAGAGGGGGAAGGAGAGAGGGAGGGAGGGAGAGAGAGGGAGAGAAGCAACAGTGAGACAGACAACCCACCCTGCCCCAGAGACCAGCCGGGCTGCAGGAGACTAGTCGACCGCCGAGTTCTGAAGGAGGAACAAGGAAATCGACAGCCTTAGCAACGTAGATAAGCGCAGGGGCTGCGGGCAGTCGCTTCACCAGGAGAGTTGGAAAAGAAGACAGAAAAGAGGGGAGGAGGGAGAGAGAGAGAAAGGGGGGAGGGGGAGGAGGAGGAGGACAAGCGGGGTAGAATGTCAGAAGTTACCAAACTATACACTCCGGGAAGTTTTTTTTAAAATAGAAAGTCAGGTCTCTTACCTTAACATGTCTAAGGACTCAACTCCCAGCAACGGAAAAAAAAAAAAAGGCAATCACAGGAGAATAAAATAATAACAATAATAAGCCCTGAGGTTCTGGGCCGGCCGATCTTTCAGCCGATGGCGAGCAGCGTTTCACGATTAAAATAATCACTCCCCGGCTTTCTCTCTGCTAACTTGGTCCTCTCTCTAGGAGCCGCGGCTCTCCGGGACCACGCGATCTTGTGGCTTTATCATCAGGCAACAATGTATCTTTTTTTTGTAACGACCCGAAGTGAAGTCTCAGCTCTCCTCTCCTCTCTTCTGGGGAGGGGGGAGGGGTGATGCGGCTGGGGGGGGTGGGAATTTTTTTTTTCCTTCTTGCTTCCCCCTCCCCTCCTAAGGGTAGCTCCTTCTGATTCACATCACCTCCTTCTTTTCTCACTTTCTCTCGCGCTTATCAGCCCGATGTGTAATGAAAGTTATCTGAGAACCACTAAAACTTCCACCTCTCTCTCCCAGTTTAAAAAACAAAACAAAACAGAAGAAGGGGGGATAAAAACAGGAAGGAGGAGGGGGGGTGCTGGAGTCTTTGGAAAGATGGGGTGGAGGGTCGAGTGGAGGGGCGAGGGAGACGGAAGTAATAGACACCCCCGCTTTTTTTCTTCTCCCCCAATCCGAGACCCTCACGGGATCTTCCCCCTATTTGCAACTCCGCGCTCAGCTGCCCGGGATTCTATTTCATGAACTGTCCCTTTAAAGAGGATCTGCTCGGCCATCCAGAAAGAGACGAGGGAGAGAGGGAGCCAGGGAGCTATCTCCCCCAGCTCCAAGTGATCGGAAGCCAGGCTCCTCTTTCGTAAATTTTTAAAGTGACAGCAGCCTCCTCTGGCGGGAGAGGTCACAAAAAGGTCGCCAAGACAGAAGTCCTATAGGGGTAGGCTGATTATGGATGCACCCTGCCCCTTAAAAAAAAAAAAGCATCTCGTTTTCGTCCGGGTAAACAACCAATAGGGAAATCTTGGAAGGCAGGGTTTCTTTCCGCAGGGAAATCTCGTCTGTTTCAATGTCCTGAAAAGTACAAGTGTGAGAGTGTGTGTGTGTATGTGTGTGTGTGTGTGTGTGTGTGTGTGTGTGTGTGTGTGTGTGTGTGTGTGTGTATGTGTGTGTGTTTGGGGTAGGGATGGGCTGGGGGCGGTGGTAAGAGAAGGGTGGGGGGAAGGAAAGGCTATACCTTGATGGGGGGGATAAGGGGGTGTTGAGGGGTCTGTGAGTAGGGAGGGTGAGTGTAGATTGAAGATGGGTGTGTACAGAAAGGGGGGAGGGGAGGATGAGTCTGTGGGCGGCAGAGCTTCCTCTCACACTAAACACTCCAGAAAATCCTCACTTAGGGAAAATCAGGATTTCTGAGACGCGGAGCAAAAAACGTTGGCTAAATTGTAGTAAAAACAAAGTTGGCGTGGTCGCGGCTAGTTTGACTGAGACCGCGTCAAAAGCACTTATCTACCGTCTCACTCATATCTTTTCCCTCTCGGTTTTAAGAACAAGAAGAAACGCTCGATTTTTTTTTGTTAAAGTATATTCCAAGAAGAAGAAAAAAACCGTAAACTAATGTGCAATTTTTGTAAAACAAACAAAAAATCTTTAAAATACTTGGGGAGGATGACAAGACAATCTGGTGAATTTTGCAAATTCTCTTGGATACAATAAAAATAGATGGACATTCCTAAATAAAATTAAGCTAGTCAATATCATCCTTTTGTGTTTTATGCAATAAACATATTGCGTTGGGGGATGCCACTATCCCATGGCTAGTTGTTTTTTAATGTGTATGTCCACATTTTATTTACGCAAATCTCACGGAAAGTGTCTTTGGAATGAATAGCATTGAAAAGGGCTCTGAGTTTATTTGCATGTACATTTGGAGAGGGTAGCAAAAACCCACGGGCAAAAGCTAAATAATTTTAAATTCACAGTTTAATTTGTAAGAATCAGTAAATTAGCAAATCCCATCTCTTTCCTTGACTTAATAGCGGAAAAGCTGGGAAAAAATATTAAGTGGCTCAATAAATATCTTTTTTTTTCCAGTGGGGGTAGGTGAGCACGTTCAACTTCATCTTTTATTGCAAGGGCCACCCACTTACATTTTCGTGTGTGTGTGTGTGTGTGTGTGTGTGTGTGTGTGTGTTGTGTGTGTGTAATATCTCCAAACTGAAATGTCGATTTAAAAAATATTAATAATAAAAAAGGAGGCGGAGGGGAAAGGCAGTGACAAGAGATGGAGATTAATTCTTTTCAGTGGCCAGTTATCTGTGACATTGAACTGTTATTTCAGATAATGGCTATTGTTCAAGGGAAAATCGCACAGTAGTGGTAGGTAGGACAGGAAAAATCCTTTGTAAATAACCTACAACCTGGTCCGAGATTCCCAGAGAGTCTGGTGCTTGAGAACCTCTAAGAGCCCCCGGTTTGCTGGCCATTGATTTCCTGCCCTTCCTCAACTTGTCCATTGTTGGAGCCTTTTTTTTAATTTAGCCATAAATTGGACCAGCTCGAGCTATGAGCTGTTCTATTTTCTTCCTGTCAGGATGAGGGATTTGTTTTATGATGCATTGTGTATTAAATACAAGTAATCTGGGGAACCGATTGCTTTCGACGGTGCGGCCTGATCAGGGGTCCTGATAACTGTTCCCCGCCCCGCCGCCATCTCCCCCCCTTGACAAAGCTGACCTGAAAGAGAGGAAATGTTGGTGGGTAAACAAAAGGGTTTGGGGTATCAATAGCAGAGCCTGCCTAAATCAAAATTTCGTGGAAAAGACTCTAAAGAGTCCTTCCCCACCTCCATCCTCTTCTCCCACCCTCTTCCATTTATTAGTATTAGTATTAGTATTTGGTTTAATATAGAGATGGAGGGGGAAAGCTGGGATCACACACGAGGGGTTGCAATGAGTGCAGTTTCGAGCGCAGGCCGGTAGATGGCGATGTGACCCGAATTAATGGGAAGCCCATGCAAGACCTTGCAGTAGCCTGGGCTGCAAAGGGAGAGAGTCCGTCAATGCCTTCCAGGTACTGGCCCCTTGCAGGGAAGAATCCAGAGGCTCGGGCCCCGCTGCTGTTCTTGCTGCTGCAGCGGCCTTACTGGCAAGTCAGTGCTTCCCGGCTCTCCGTCTCTCTCTCTCCCTCTACACCCTCCATAGTAAGTCTTTCTGCATCTTACAACCCAGTTCTGCAAAGACGAAGGGAAAATGCACCAGGGGTGGGCTTGTACCCCCCCCCATTTTTGGCTGATTTGACGGTTGGCTTCAAGCATCAAAATCCTTTCTCCTGCAGCCGGACCTGCAGGGACTATTTCTAAGCATCTTTTCCTCCCAACGCAACCCAAAGACAACAGCCCTGAGAGCAGAGAGAGAGCGCCTCTGCTCTCCCTCATACCTAAGCCAAGGGGCACAAGTAATTTATCTGGAGCCCGAAGGCTTTTGAATCGGTTTGGGGCCAGTGGATTTTCCAGCTGCAAAGAATGAAAGAAGAGGCTTTATTTCGGGAGGTCTCCAGCAAAGGACTTGCCCCCCTTCCCATCTATTAATTGATTACCTCGTTATTCTGTATTAATGGATTTTTTTTCAGTGGATTCATTACCACCTCAACGGTCGTATTTCAAAGAATCATAGTTTTGGAGATGCAAAGAATCTTTGAGATCATCTCGTGAACAGGGGTTCTTAACCTTTTTTAAACCTTTGACTCGTACTGAAGCCTATGGACCCCCTTCTCAGAATATTTTAGATACCTAAAATAAACTACAAAATATTACAAAGGAAGCCAGAGGTTAGTGAAAATAAAGATGTCATTTTTTTCCCAACCAAGTTCACAAACCCCCTGACATCTATGCATAGGTTTATGGATGCTGGGTAAAGAACCCCCGATCTAGTCAACTTGAGGCCCAGAGAGGGAATTGACCAGCCCCAAGGTCACATAGGTAATAATGGGCAGAGCCCCGGGATTAAACCTAGATAAATAACTAGCAGTTGGAAGCAAGACCTCATTCTTCTGACTTGGTCTGATACCCCTATAGAAGCGGGTGTAACCTCTTTATGGTTGAAAGAAGCCTCTGGTCATTTTAATGAGTGCCCTTTAGGGAGGAAATATAGAGCCACTGACCCACCTCAACTCATCAGAAGAAGGGAGAGGGGAAGGAAAGTGTTTGGGGTTTTCCCCCTTTTCTTTCTTCCCCCACCTCCCCTTCCTCAGGGGGCCCACTTTCTTTTCCAGTTAGCTTGTTTTTCATTAGGAGGTTTCTAAAACAATAAATAAATACAATGAGCCAAATACTACCACCAATTCCTTCTGTTCCTTGGGATTTCTGGTGAAATCTGTTTACGGTAGTTCCCAGTTACAAATTAATCTAGAAAAGCTGGTGTCTAGCAGCAGCCATCAGTCACATGCATGCTTTGTGGTGTTTAGCCCTGCCCTTGAAATGAGCTATTAAAATAATGGTTTTACTATAATCTCAAACCAGCTTTAATTCACAAAAAACTATCAGGATAGATGATCTAAATATTAAGGGGACAGACTGTAACCAACGAACAGACTTTGGGAACCCACAAAGTGGGGAGGGAGCATCTCTTTTTTTTTTCAGTATTTATAGAAAAGAATATTTTTTTCTTTAATTGTCCAAAAGGCACGATTGTTTTTCTCTTGGCAAACGAGCAATGATCATTCTATTAATTCTTATTTACAATGAATAGACATCCCAGAACTGAGAGGCCATGAGATCAGAGACTGTAGCCTGAGTGTGAGCTGATATATTCCCTAGGAGCTGTAAAGATCCCCTCTTTGGCTGATGGCAGGGGTGGGGTGGGAGAGGTTAATGTGTTTGCTTCCTGGTTTGAAAAGGGCATAAACCCTCCTCGGGCCCTTTCCTTCCTTCCCCCCCTCCCCAGCTGCCTGAACCGGGGGATCTTTAAGAGGCCCCAAGATTTCTAATAAGGCCACTTGGTCTGCCTTCATTTTCCCATTGTTTATTTAAAATAAGTCAATATATTAGTTAAAGGGGTAAGAAGTTAGTGCTGCAGTCTTCAAGTGATTCCCACAAGGGTGTAAGCTGATGCCTCTTTTAAGCCTTTAACTTCATGGTCGTCCCAGAAGTAAAAGTTCTCCTAATGGAGACCCTGTGGGCATGGTGCATTCCAGGACATCATTAAAGCAAAGGAAAGCAGCCCAGTCAAAGCCAGATGAAATAACTGCACTGTCCACTTTTAATAGGCTTCCTGTGGACAAACAGCTCTGGAACACTCTACAGAGGACAATATTTAAACCTAAGACAACTTGCTGGCAGTTTTCAGTACCATAAATGTAATAAAGTATGTTCCCATTCACCCTGACATTATGTTTTTAGTTTATAGGAAAAGGCACTTCATAACCCCAGCCTAAAAGGGAGTCAGCTTAATTCTGCAGCATTAGGGTTTCTAAAGGTGACTAAATACACACTGAGCTGCAGCCGACTTGTGTTTTAAACACATTTTTTTCTTCTTTTTTTGAGTTAGCTCGTCAAGAATGCAGAAGGGGCATTTTACATTTCTCCAGCAAAGGCCTGGGCATCCCAAATGCTGCTCAATCCCATCTCAAATAGACAAGCTGGAGGAGGAGGAGGAGGATGGAATAAACTGAGCAATTGACATTTCCCTGTGCAATAACTGCCCGTTAATTAAATTAGTTTTGTGTAGGAATATTGATGTGTTATAAAAAGTCAATGCTTCCCTTTATTGTTCGTCATGTAGTTTTTGCAAAATCTCATCTAACCAGAGTGGAGATGGGGGACAAGCAGAGGGCTGCCTTTAGGATTGGGGGGGGATTTTCTTAGGAGTTCACCCAAAGAGATGATTCTTCAGGGGTATTTATTTCTTCACTAAAACTCCTGTTCTTTTCACCTTCCCTTTCCGCCTGCCCCCCCCCCATAACACACAGGACTTCAAATTCATTCTCCCTGTCCCTTTTTTTTTCTTTCTTAGACTGATCATAATGATAAAAGATAAAGTTAAGATCAGGGAGTTAGGTCAGCTCTGTTGTAAGGTTGAGGGCTTTTTTTTTTTAAATTAG